CGATATCCGTCTGTTTGTTGTAATTTCGCCATCTTTCAAATGAATTAAGATAGAAGGCTAAAATGTTGCACACATGTGTATTATTTCATTAGTCAGTTTAAGTTTTTTAAATGGGCCATGTCGGTTCACATTTTCGTATAGCCCCCATGTAACAATACCTACAGATCTATGGCATTTTGATGATTTTAGCGACCTACCAAACTATGACAGAAATTGTCTATGCAGGTCCACGTCTTTCTACAGCCCACATATAACAGTACCCTTCATTCGGTATTACTACTTTGGGAAACCATTTGATCAAACATTCGACAAAAAATAAACATTCGACATCGGATTGAAACTGCGAAAGTTAGCATTGAACTGCATGTACTGTTTACTAGACATCTCCGTTGACAAGTCTGAGGTAGGATCAAATCCAGTCGTGTTCGTATTGTTCGCCCGAAAAAAAAATCGCTGGGGAACGTGGTGAAATGATTCTATATTGTCGTAGTAATAAATTTAAGTGTTTTTGAACTTTATTTTTATTTGATCCCATTGATTTCATTGCACTCTTTATAATCTATAACGAACTTTCAGGCTGTCCATTCGTGGTGCTACTTCTTCGATCAGAAGATGCGAATATGCGTCGGTTATATCCAAATGACAAAAATATTTTGCTCCACTCATTTTATAGAAAGTATGCTTTGGGATCGGATGTTCATCCACAACAACTCTAGGGTGGACAGTAGGCTTGTAATTGCCAGTTATTCGGATCTGACCATCTTTCTTAGCAACAACGTGCGTGGTTGATGCCCATTCTGAAAACTCAACCCGTTCATAAAGACCTGACTTCCTTTTGCGATCGATCTCGGTGGCATAGGCTTCTCTTAGAGGAAAGTGTATATCTCACGGCTTAGCCAGTACCGGGTTTGCATCCTTTCTTAAGTGTAGATTTATGGGTGGAACATTTAACTCACCGGCTGTATCGCTAAAAATGTCGGGAAACTCTGCAAGTAGTTTTTGTAGCTGATCTGCTTCATTAGGCATTAAACGAGGTGTGTCCATCTTGATTGCACAAACAGTCTAAGGAGTTGAAAACAACCATACAAAATCAATCTCTTGGACGAACTGTGCAATCCATTCTCTGCAAAGTAACGAATCAAAGTTGCCATCAACTATGTACAAGTTAAGTTTTCGCATAGTTGAGCCTATTTTCACATCAACTACCACTCGTCTAACGCAGTGAATTCTATGACCTGTGTAGCTTGTAAATTTCCTTTCGGTTGGTAGTAATTTAAATTTTGTAGTGCACGACTTCAGAACAGCCAAACTCATTATGCAGCATGGGGCACTCATGTCCAACTCCAACTGTCTATTGCTCGCCTTTTTATTACCAACTTGGTTCAACCGTTGAACGACGTCCCTGCTTTCATCGTCCAAAATGAGCTCTTCTGCAACTTGTGCCGTTCTCGAATTGCAAGCTTTTGCAATATGACCGGTTTTATTACATCGGGAGCACTTGACATTGCGAAATTTAAAGTGGTCTCTGATGTGGTGTTCACCACACCCGTTACACACGCTACAAAAACTCCTTGCAGAGTTTCACGACATTTTAAGCGATATAGCCGGTAAGTTAAGTGTTCCACCCATAAATCCAGACTAAAGAAAAAATGCAAAACCGGTACTTGCTAAGCCGTGAGAAATACATTTTCCGCTAAGAGAAGCCAATGCCACCCGGACCAGGTAACCACATCGATCGCAAAAGGAACTCAGGATATATATATATATATATATATATATATATATATATATATATATATATATATATATATATATATATATATATATATATATATATATATATACATATATATATATATATATATATATATATATATATATATATATACCTAACGGAGATGGAGTAAATGATGAAGTTCTGAACTTATCTAAAATATTTGTTGCTGCAGTATAGAGAGGCTTAATCCCATCCTGGTAAATATCCCCACCTTTCCCACTTATAAAATAACATTGTTTTTTAATTAAAAAAGCATTTACCAGGATATTTACCAGGATGGGATTAAGCCTCTCTATACTGCAGCAACAAATATTTTAGATAAGTTCAGAACTTCATCATTTACTCCATCTCCGTTAGGTACGAGTATAGTTCCAATTGTTTAAATTTGATGCATCAAATTCTTATGTCATATGGAGTTAAATTATTCGAGCAGACAAAACCATTTGGGTAGTATATGCGGAAAAGATTAACAATCTTAGCGCAACTATCTGCATTATAGTACATTACATGATTTTGTTATTTCAAGGTTTGTAAACTAATCCGATACAACATTTCACAAAGATTTCTTTGTTTTGTTTGTAAATTAAAACATTAGTTATGCATTAATATATTAAGTGAAGTTATGTGAGAATCTTAACCCCAAATGGAATGTATAAAATTTAATGTCATTTAGTATTTCCGTGCACGTTACACAAATTACAAAATCATCCCTTTATCTACAAGCTACACGCTCACAGTAATCAAAAAGGCGCCCGGAAATAATCCCCATTGCAATTATTTTGGTCATAACCCCCATAATAAAGTGGGGATTATGTCCGCTTCCACAATATACATAATCCCCTTTGCTGTAGGGACTAATTACAAAAATTATTAAATGTTGTAAACTTGGGTTCGCTTTAGCTGGTGCGCGTTTATGCCCGCAATCGCTTTGAGGATAATGACCTTTTTACTTGGACATAATGTAATTATGTCCACGGATTATATCCGTGAGGATTATAACAAGGCACCAATCCAATTGTCCAAAATTCATAATTTAACACATCACCTATATCTATATATCTATTCCAAAATTTAAATAAACCCAAATGGTACAATATTTAGTGCAGTTTAGTACTTTTGGTACACTTATTACTCGAATTTTTTACAACCCTTTGGTTCGTCTGTCCTACACAACGTCAAGGACTTCCTTTCCAAAGTTTAGATTTGCAAACATCAAATTTAACAATATTTAGTCCACAACAAGTGACCGTAACACCAAATTTCAAATATCTATCTATAGCCCTTCCTCATATACCAAATCTAGTACAATTTTGTATTTTTTTATGCATGTTTCCAAAACCACCTTCAAATCGGAACTTATAACTTTATCCGTTTACTCAAATAGTGTCAATTTTAGAACGATTAATACTGTTCGATTTTGAAGCGAACCGAAACGCTATTCCTATTTATGAACCAATCTGTTATGTATGAACTATCCCTTTAATGTTGACATATCGAATATATGCTATATTAAGTACTAATCTGTCAATTTTGAATAAACTGTAACTTCAGTCTTGATCTTGATTTCATACCAATAAGTACCATTGAATAAACCTATATCTCAAATTGTTACACATTGCTGTTTGAATACATAAAAGTGGTGTCAGAAGTGAAATAGTTAAACATGCCACTGGATTCCGAGGACTTAAAGATAACTGCTGATATATTTGCAAATGCACTACGGGAGTCAGCCACACAAAGTACACAGGCGGTAGTTGCAAGTATTTCACAACAGAATGCAATAGGGAGAGCAGCAAATACGCCGCTTTTTGTTTCACCATACAAAGCAAATGAACAAACGACCGTTGAAGATTATTTTACTCGTTGCGAGTGGGCTTTTAAATAGAGTCGTATTCCAGAGGACGAATACAAAGACTACATTCTAGTGCATATGGGGTCGGAGCTCAACACTACACTTAAAACGTTGATGAGTCCTAAGAAACCAAAAGACTTGTCTTTTGCAGAAATCAAGACAACATTAATGAATCACTTTGACAAGAAGAAGAACAAATTTGCTGAAAGCATCAAGTTTCGTCTAGTCATTCAGGAAATGGAGGAATCATTAGCAGATTTTACCCTACGACTTGGAACAGAATGCTAACAGAACAGCTGCTTTATGGATTGGAGTGGCGGATCATATGAGACCAGATAATTGCAAAGGAACCTGAAAATTTTAAAACTGCGTATGAAATTGCTCAACGCCTGGAAGTTTCACATTTGACGTCACTGGATATGAAATGTGCAACCGGCGGCCCTGTAAATGTAAGGACGCAAATAATGATGCGAGATTCAGCATATCTAAGTTATATAATGCAGTTCAAAACAAGTCTAACGGGTGTGGTGAACACCACAGCAGAGACCAGTTTAAATTTCTGGTCACATATGCTCCGCGACTCCAACCAATAAAGCCATAAAGGCAAAGTTTTACCAAATTGATTCAACCGTTGAACGACGTCCCTTCTTTCATCGTCCAAGATGAGCTCCTCTGAAAATTGTGCCGTTCTCGATTTGCATACGTTTGCAATATGACGGGTTTTATTACATCGGTAGCACTTGACATTGCGAAATTTAAACTGGTCTCTGATATATATATATATATATATATATATATATATATATATATATATATATATATATAACTCTAACAAAGTCAAACGTCATAATTTTTAATAAATGTGCAACAAGGGTCCAACGGATTGGTATCGGGAGATTATGGTGGCCATTGTGCGCTGGAAATGACGCGATGAACCTCATTTTGTAATCACTCTTCGGTGGGTGCTGATTGCGATGTTGCTGAGTCCTATTGTCCGAGGTCTGTGGCCAAAATGTTGGAATGCCCAAATGTTTGGTTGCCCTCCAGAATATATTCGCGATAATATTCGCCATTTATTCTAAATACAATTTTTGAAGTTATATCCATACCCAAATCTTGAACTGTGCCAATAATAGTTGTGTTCCAGTACTTTTTAGTAGTAAAACTAGCAGAAGAGAGAACAGTACGAAATGCCATTCTCATTTAGGTGTGCTCAAAAAATAATGGAACGGAAAATTAGCAGAAATGCGATAAAATGTCAACATTCAAAATTCCAAAAGAAAACAGCCTAATTCGGCCTGGTGAAACCTTACTGAAACGGACGTCAAAATTTAAAAAAAATGGTTATTGAAAATAAGTTAAAATTAATAATTATTTTTAAATGCTGTTTATTTAGAAAATTTTTTTTCAGAATGGGTTGAAGAGTATTTAGAGGTGGAGTTTTCTCAAATCCCAACACCGGAGAAGCTGACATGGTTGGAGGCGCCGGTTAAATTAATTTTAAGTCTGCTAGAAGACTAAATGCCACAAGTTGGGAAGACAGCCAACCTAAAAAATAAAAAGAAAATGTTCGCAGTAATAAGCGAACATCTTTTATTTTAAGCCTAATGTTTTCCAATACGTTTTCTTCGCCTGATTCCTCATTCAGCCAGTCCTCTTCACTCCTGGAATCATCCAAATGGAAATACATCAGTTGCTCCATATTTTCTCTTTTTGTTTTTTGCACGACAAATATTAGTTTTACTTTAGTTTTTAAGTTTATCTTTTTTCTTTACATTTGTTGTTACGCGCGAACTTTGAAATGTATAAATATTTTTTTCAACCTTGTTAGCCCTGCCAATTAAATGTAAAATTTACAATTTGCACATTTCTGCTCGGCCAAATTCATGTAGCTAAAACAGACAGAAATGTGCACCACTCAGTGCCATTTTCGAGAGAGAGCTGTAAGTTTTGCTAGTTTTTGGAGTGCGGCAACGCGTTATAGTAGAATTAGCACTAATTAGTACTAATTTGTAGGTTCTGGGACACAACTAAAGTTAATTTCAAATTTATGTGTACGAAATGGTATCAAACTTGGTACAATTTAAATTTTGAGAGAACCAATAGAGTAGGAATCCTGACATTTGCATTGATTGATGATTAATATTACATTCTAGGACTTATGTATGTAGGTATCTTTGAAAATTCCTACTTATGTGTACTAAATGGTACTAAGTTTGGTACAATTTAAACTCGATTGGAATGCTCAAATAAGCATGACTTTACCTTCCTAATTTTACCATGGATTTTTATTTACCAACCGAAAAAATTCCTAAACCCAAGATTGTCTGCTGAGTTTCGTACAATTTAAATTTCGATTGGAATGCTTATTTGAAATGACTTTACCTTCCTAATTTTACCATGGATTTTTATTTACCAACCGAAAAAATTCCTAAACCCAAGATTGTCTGCTGCGCAATGTAAATACTGACGATAGCGCATAGTGCCCGTATAATGTTACCTATGATTTAAGGTTACTTTTAAGGGTTCGGAAGAATTTTCCGAGTATATGAATCCCTTTCTTACTATATTCTCAATTCACTCCACTACAGTGAACCTTCATGTTCGGTATTTCACTGATTGAAGTCCCAATGAATTTTGCATTTTGAGTTTTCATTGAATGAATTATTTTCATACATTGCAGAAGAATTCAGGTAGATGCATCAAGGCTTGGGAACATTGATATATCAAAAATTTTTAAATATAATTTCAAATATAAGTAGATTTTTATATGTTATCTTATATAACGGCATTCGGAGGTTATTATAATACGCGTTTTTCAATAATTTTTGCAAATTTAAATAATTTTTCATTCAACATTTTCAATTTCAAAATTGGTTTGTCATTGTCCCAGCAGCTGTGTCGATGCGTCTACCTATATTCTTCTACCACGAATTTCGTATCTAATCAAACTTAAAAATTTGGTTATGGCAACCATATAACAGCATGTATAGAAAATATGCAAACTTTCTCGATTTTTTCGGTTTTTTTAATAAGATTCCAAAAGAAATTCCAAAAGAAATTCTAAAACAATTCTACACAAAATTCCATATCATAATAGAACAGTCATATGTTTCAATTCCGCTATTTTTCTCAAAATTTTCTTTCTTGACAACGTTTTTACTGTAATTACAAATAACCAAAAGGAAATTTGAGTCAAATTGGCCCAGCCGTTCTAAACAGATGTGTTACTATACTTTTTCATATTTGTCATATATAAATTAAAAGAAGTAGGTGTGGCCAGTTCCTCTAACCCCAAAGAGATTCCTTGGGTTGAGGGGGAGGGGGAGTCAAGATTACGTATACTAACTGTGGAAGAGATTTCTTCATGATTTTGGCAAATATTAGGATTTTTGATATATCAAAAAAAGGGGCGCAAAATTGGGCGCAGGGTGAACATTTAAAAAAAACATTGAAATAGTTCCAGCCGGTCTAATTGATTCAATTCAAGTAATCGGTTCAGATATAGCTATAGCTCCCATATATATTGTTCATCCGATTTGTTATTTTTTCCTCCGCAGCCGTAATATGCAATAATATGCATTATGCATTAGTAACAACAATATTCGGGGAAGTATGTCAAATGCAGCTTAGAAACACCTTTGCTAAATTTTATCGAGATCGGTTCAGATTTGGATATATATATATATATATATATATATATATATATATATATATATATATATATATATATATATATATATATATATGTAAGAGGAATGATTCGGGGACAGCAAAGAAAAATGATTTAGTAACAATTTTTTATACAATATAGATTATATGAGCATACATAACCCGATATCTGAGCGAAATAATTTATATCTTATGTTCTACGACGTTTTATATTCTTTGAGATTTATTTGGGGTCATCTGTTATACTGTGAATCATTTCGGCCAATGTACCTGAAATGCGCGTATCATATACAACAATAGGGGTTGCCACCGCTATGTTAAATTTTACCATTTTTTTTTTTGATTTTTTTTTTTCTAAACTATATTGAACGACCTCTCCTTTGAATTTTAATGAATATGAATATGTACTAAAGGGGTACAAAAATCACTTAAATATACTAAAAGCAACATATTCGTATTGGCCAAACGGAATGAGCTAAAATTCTAAAATTTGAAACGAGAGTAACTGATGCTCAAAAAATAACCTTTAAAATATAGCTATCAGTGGAAAATGATTCAACTAATAAATTTCTTAAAAAAAAAAACTTGTGTTTAAAAAACTGACCTGACCAGGAATTGAACCAGGGTCACCTGATTCGCAATCAACAAAAATAACTCAGCGCCAGTCGCATACCGATTGAGCCACAACACTACTGAAGATTACGCAATCTAAATAAAAACAATAGTTTTACATTTTGATGGCCGCTAGCTTGAATGTATACTAAAGGGAATAGTTTGTTGTGAGAAATGCAACTACATGAAAGGACAACAGCTTAACATCTGTGTACGTGAACCGAATAAACTGTTCATATTGGTACAAACAGATTTTTATTAAAATAATGTGCAAAATAACAATATGTGAATTGTATTATTTCAATTATAATAGGTTTATCTCATATTTTCTTCTTTGCTTTTTTGCGGAAAATTTCATATTTCTATTCCTATATCAGCCGTGAGCAAATAAAAAAGAAATAATTTAAGGGAGTAAAAAAAATTTATTTTTTTTATAATTTGGCTTGAACTTTTTGATACATTGATATTGTGAACCAAATATTTAAAATTAAGAAAAGTCTTAAATCTGATTTATAAAAAGAAGAAATATGCATCATGTCCAGAATATTTTTCGTCTAATAATAGTAATAAAAAAGTAGAAAAAAAACTGAACTATAAATACCTGCATTTTAATTTTCATGGGTCGTTACTTTCCATGACGATGCTGTTAAGAGTTTCATATGCAACATCAACATGAACTTTTGTTTATAAACATGTTGCACGATTCAGATTGCGATCTTAGATCATATTGTTGCAGTGGAGCGGTGGTCGGGTTGGTTAAGGGCAACTGTTGGCATGCACTGGGTTGAGAGTTCAAATCTGCGCTGGGGCGTTTTAAGTTTATTTATTTATTTATTTTTTTTTTTGGAACTTAAAACGGATGAATTCGGTAACGTATTTTCAACATTTCGACATTTTCAAAAAATACATATTTTTGCACAGAAAGAGAAAGGATAATCCGATTTTGCTTCAACTTTGCATATCCCCATATTTTTGCGCCAGTGCTGGGTCAGGTGTGAAAATGGACAATATCGGTCCACTTCATCAAGTACCTCCCCCACAAATGGTCAAAATTTTGAATAATTACAACTCTCATAAAATGTGATTTAAGAGTCCGATTGTCTTAAAATTTTACACATCCCAATATTTATATTAACCCATGGTCTGATGTTAAGATGGAATATATCGGTCCGCTCCATCTGGTACCTCCCCCACAAAAGGTCGAAATTTTCAAAAAAATATTTTTTGCACAGATGAAGAGAAATGATAATCCGATTTTGTTCCAACTTTGCAAATCCTAATATTTGAATTTATGGATATTCAAAATGTTGAGCCTTTGTGGGGAGGTACCAGAAGGAGTGGATCGATATATCCCGTCTTCACAACAGATCTTTTATTAGTGGAAATAATGGGATGTGTGAAACATAAAGAGAACATCATGATTACTTCGGATTTTATAAACGTTTTGGTTATTCAAAACTTTGACCCTTTGTGAGGGATTAACCAGAAAGAATAGTCCGATCTCTACCGTTTTTATACCCTTCACCATACATAGTATGGAGGGTATATTAAGTTCGTCATTCCGTTTGTAACTCATCGAAATAATAATTTTAGACCCAACAAACTAAATATATTCTTGATCAGAGTAAAATTCTAAGACGATTTAGCCCTGTCCGTCTGTTGTAATCACGCTACAGTCGAAACTAATTAAGATAGGAAACTAAAATTTTGCAAAGATCTGTCTTTGCTCAACAGGCCGGTTAGGTTCGAAGATGGGCTATATAGGTGCACGATATCGTATAGTCCCCATATAACGGTACCCCCCGAAATTCGGTATTTTTATTATTTCAGCCACATTTTTCAATGAAATTGTCTGAATTTGTAAACAGGAGTTCGTAACGATTACTTTGTCCCCTTGTAGAGAATTATCTATATACGTCCACGATATCGATATTCGGTATTTTGATGATTTTAGTCACATTTTTTAATGGAATTGTCTGAATTGTACACAAGAAGTTCCTAATGAGTACTTTACCCTCTGGCAGAGAATTGTCTATATAGGTCCACGATATCGTATAGGCCCCGTATGACGGTACCCCCCGATATTCGGTATTTTTAAGATTTTTAAATGGAATTGTCTGAAATTGTACACAAGGAGTTCTTTATGAGTACTTTACCCCCAGGTAGAGAAATGTCTATATATGTCCACGATATCGTATATCCCCCATACAACGGTACCCCCAAATTCGGTATTTTGATGATTTCACCCACATTTTTCAACGAAATTATCTGAAAATTCTCTCGAAGTGTTCCTTGTGAATACTTTATCCCCTTAAAGAGAATTGTCTGTATTGGTCCACGATATCGTGTAGCCCCCATATTACGGTACCCCCCGATATTCGGTATTTTGATGATTTTAGCCACATTGTTCAATGAAATTGTCTGAAATTCTACACAAGGAGTTCTTTGTGAGTACTTTACCCCTGAAAGAGAATTGTCTATATATGTCTACAATATCGTATATCCCCCATATAACGGTATTCCGATATTCGATATTTAGATGATTTTATCCACACTTTTCAACGGAATTCTGAAATTGCATAAAAGGAGTTCCGTGTGAGTACTTTATCCCCTGAAATAGTATTGTCTATATAGATCCACAATATCTTATATCCCCCATGTATCGGCACCATGCAATATTCGGTATTTTTAAGATTTTAACAGTTAACAATTCTTAATGGATTGTGTGTTTTTGAAAATTTTGTAATTCTTCCCAAATGGTGGAGGGTATTCAAAGTTCGGCCCGGTCGAACTTACTGTTTTTTTACTTGTTATAACAAATCCTGTGTTGATAGAAATATTGAGATGTACCAAGTCTGGAGTGGAATCAGATATTTATTT